TCTCTCCAGCCCCCAAACTTAGAAAGTGTTACTATAGTGTGTGTGTGTGTGTGTGTGTGTGTGTGTGTGTGTGTGTTAGAGCAACAAGTGCTTGTGAGCTGCTGGATGTGGCTGCTGGGAACTGAATTTGGGTCCTCTGCAAGAATAGTGTGCACTCCTGACCGCTGAGCCCAGCTTTGTTCTTTTCAGGAGTTTGGGGACTTCACTGTCAAGCACACTAGTGGGAGAACTTGGGAGCCATCACTAGGATAGGAATATAGTTTTTATTGTTTTTACCTTTAATGGTTCGTTCTGAGCCACATAGTCCTCAGGGTGCTCCAGAAACTTTTGTTTAGCCTCAGGACTTGAAAAGTAGTAGATCTTTTCCCGGTATCTCACAGCCTCATCCGTGTTGCCTGGCTGCAGAATGAAGTTTTCTTTGAGGACCACGGGACAAAAGTGTTTTGTATCTCCCAAATGCCTCCTTTTCTCTTTAATTTTTTCTTCACCCTATAAATATTGTTCAGTTAAGAGATTATCAATGACATTTGCTATAGTATGGAAAAAGAATTTAAAAACAATTCACTTTGAACAATAATCTATAACCAGGATTTGCTTTTCAGGCACTTTCATAGTTGTTGGAGTGACTAGAATCACAGTGTGAGTTCCCTCCTAAATGACCTCTAGACAGGGAGAGAGTAGAAATTTAGTCAGCATTTAATTTTTAGATAAGAATAGTGGGATTTTCCTTTTGGCTGCAGGTAGGGACTTCAGAGTTGATTCGGCCAGGATTTGAAGCCTTACACCTGAGTAGCATTTTCTTATTAAGAACAAATCATTAGTGAGAAATTGTCTAAATAACATCTTATGTAAGCTAATCCTGAGTGTGTCCATGGCAGCCAAAGGAAAAATAAAGAGAAATGCAGTAGATCGATGCTTTTGGAAGCCCTTGTCAAGAAACTCTGATTTGAAAATTCACCCTGTTCTGACTTCTCCTAGTTCCCTGCCTAGAATTTGTGCCTAACTACTCTTGCTTTTACTTCTCCTTCCCCTCCTCGACCCATTGATATCATTCTTTTCATAATAATGATTATTCCATGACTTTTAAATTTTTTTCAAGACAGAATCAATGAGATGATCAAATGGTCAGTGAACCAGATGCTCTTAACCAAATTCGCTTGTCTCCTACCACTGCCTGCCCACTTGGCCCCACACTTCAGACTGATGTTCCAGTCTTTTGAGACCACCCCCTCTTTCCCTGTCCAGCAGGAAGTAGCTAAAGAAAGACCACTGTCACCTCTTATCATTAACAATAGGCTGGAATTGGGTTAGGTTCCTGGCATGCTCCTAAAATGGTGGCGCAGCTCCCAACATTCTAAAATTGTGGGTTCAAACTTAGCCCCAGAAAAGTCCCTCTGCTTATTGGGAGACCAACCAATCCTGAGCCAAACTGCCCAGCCTATGTCATGGAAAGTTACCCAACCACCTAACTGCCTATAAAAGATGTCTGACTTCCCCTGCTTGCTGCTGTTTGCTCCCTGAGAGGCAGTCCAGTGGTCTGTTTGCTTTCAAACTGCTGTTCCTCCCCCACCCACCAAACAAATCTATAATCAATGAATTTCAAAATAATCCACAAAACATCCTTATGCTAGTTTAATTAATTAAACATGCTTCTCGTAGTTCTGTAATTTAGAATACACACACACACACACACACACACACACACACACATATATATATATATTTTTTTGTCTTTTTGAGACAGGGTCTCCCTGTAGCCCCAGCTGTCCTGGAACTCACTGTGTAGACCAGGCTGGCCTTGAACTCACAGAGATCTGCCTGCCTCTGCCTCCCGAGTGCTGGGATTAAAGGCGTGCACCACCACACCTGGCCCTAGAATCTATATTTTTAATTTTCATAAAAAATAAAGTGACACTGAGAATTGAGGTGAGCATAGCTCTTATAGACACAGTGAAGTTCGAATTGAAAATGGTTTTTAAGTAGTAAAATCTGAGGCAGGGTCACAACTTCTTATTTACCCCAAGATCTCCTTCATTTTGTTTTAAGTAAGAATATAGTCAAGCAATAATTTGAGAATATTTTATGTATATATTCATTTGTGCTAAAAACAAGACCTTTAAAGATTCTTGCAATTTATTTAAACCAAAGGAAATATATTAAAAATAGTTACTATAAAAATTTTGAACACAAGACAATGCATAAAGAGTAAAAATCCTCTCGCTTTTTCCCTCTGGTACTGTGCAAACATTCTTTCCTTTAAAAATATTTTACTTTTATTTGTATGTATATCTGTATGTGTGCATGCCACATGAGTGTGGGTGCCTGAAAAAGCCGGCAGAGGGCATCTGATGCCCTGGAACTGGAGTTACAGACAGCTGTGAGTCACCTGGCATGAGTGTTGGGAACTGAATTTAGCCTCTGGAAGAGCAGCAAGTACTCTTAACTGCTGAACCATCTCTCCAGTCCTTATGGAAATATTTTCAACAGTTTTTATGAGAACACCTTGAGACTATTCCTAAACAATGCTATATATATAAAAACTAGACATATTTGGGCACCAATATAGTAATTTTGAAAATAGAAGACTTTGTAAATTATAGCATGCCTTTTTCACAAAAGAAGAAACAGCAAATAATTTTCTGTATAGTTGTAAAGTTGTACCATTCTTTTCTTTTACTTATTTATCTTTATTTTTTAATGTGTGTTTTGCCTACATGTATGTAAGTGTACCACATGTAGCCACTGCCTGCAGAGGCCAGAAGAAGGTGTTGGATAACTCCCCTGAAACTGGAGTTGTGGACAGTGTTATTTGCCATGTGGGTGCTGGTATCAAACCCGGGTCCTTTGCAAGGACAGAAAGTGCTCTTAACTACTGAGCCAGCTCTTCAGCCACTCACAGCACCATTCTTACTCACAGCGGAGTATTCAAACAAAATCAGCTGAGGTTTTCCTATAATGTGGAAGAGTTTAAACAACACAGGAATTATCAATGAAAATGTATTAAAATGACCTGCAAACTTCCCTTCTGTTTTGTTTTATTTAGCTTTTATCAATATTCCTGAGTAAATTTCAGAAGGCGACTTTTGGGGGAGGTAAAATCGTTTTAATATTGATTTTCACACTTGTTAGAATGAAAAACCTTCAATTTAAAACAACTCTTTAAGAATCTGCAAGTAATCCTCGTCCATTATTGATGGGATTGCAAGCTTGTGCAACCACTGTGGAAATCACTATGGAGAACTCAGAAAAACTAAAAATAAATTTAGTATATGATCCAGTCATATCACTCCTTGGCATATACCCGATAGGCTCATCCTACCACAAAGACACTTGTACAGCCACATTGCTGCTGCTCTTTCACAATAACTAAGGAATGGAAACAACCTAAATGCCCCTCAACGGATGAATGGATAATGAAAATGTGGTACATTTACACAATAGAGTTCTACTCAGTGGTAAATAAAAACAAAATCATGAAATTTGCAGGTAAATGAATGGAACTAGAGACCATTGCACTAAGTGAAGTAACACAGCCTCAGGAAAAACAAGCCACATATGTGGTCTCTCATTTGTAAATCTTGGCTTAGATGGGAATATATATCCTGATGTAACCTCAGGAGTCAAGAAAATAGAAAGGAACCATGAGGATAAAGGGGAAGGAGGAACTTGAGAAAGGGGGATAGTAGGATACAGGTGCTATTAGGGGGGAAGTTGGGGGAAAGGGGTACTTGAACTGAGGCGGGAGCAGGAAGGGTTATACAGGTGAGTAAGAGAAGAGATAAATAATGCTTAGATGGTATTAAAAACCAAACAGGAGTGTATTAGTTCAAAGCCCTACTGAAAAACATACACAGAACATGTGTATAGCTAGTCAGGATAGTCTAAGAGACTCCCAAAACAACAGGTTATTGCTACAGTCCTTGGTTACCTCCCAGAACTTGAAGGTAAGACCTTATCGCTGAAGACAGGTCACATTCTGGACATAGGACTTGGAGCAACAGAGCTGGAACTGACCTGGAAGCCTGCTCTTTGAAGATTAGCTCCCATGGTTAGCAGAGGATACTATACAAGCTGCCAAGGGAAAAAAACCAAGCAGTGGTCTTACCCAGCCGTCAAGCCTAATAAACAACAACTGGCCCAGAAAACTATCTCTATTGGTGCAGTAGTGACATTTTGTGTGTGTGTGGGGGGGGGTCTTTTTGAGACAGGGTCTTCCTGTAGCCCCAGCTGGCCTGGAACTTGCCATGTAGACCAGTCTGGCTTTGAACTCACAGAGTCCCACCTGCCTCTGCCTCCCAAGTGCTGGGATCAAAGGCGTGTGCCACCACACCTGGCTAATAGTGGCACTTTTATTTTGGAGGTAATCAACAGCTGTCTAATTGGACTTAAAGTCTGCTCAGTGGAAGGGAACTCATGTGTGATATTGTAAACATAGCCAAATACACACAGCTGGCGAGGTCCTAGATCCTAGATAAAAAGCTACTTTGTCACATCCCTAGACCAATGTAATTTCTTACTTTATTCTAAATATACAACCTCATTTTTATAGACAAGTGTACCTTTCACCCTTCATCAAAAAAGCTTCTTTTTGCAAAAGATAGAGACCAGAGTTCCCAAACTAGTCGAATGTAGAGGGATAAGAGTCTCTGAGATGCTTAACCCTAAGTGACAGATCTTTACTGCAATCTGTACATATAGGATGAATGCATCTCTTACCTCTCACCAGGGAAGTTTCTTTTTGCAGCAGATGATGATTAACACAGAGACCCACAATGGGCCAGTATTCAGAGAACAAAAGTCACAGAGTGCTGATCCCTGAACAAGACACATATTTTCAAACCTCTGCCTCACAAGGTTCAGGGATCACTGCAGAAGAGAAAGCCAGAGGGGGTAGATGACCATAAAGAAACAGTCTTCCAGACTACTGGTCAGTACAAGTCCTATGCAAGCTCAAACCAGACAAAATCCCAGCCTAGACGTGGGAAAGAAATACCAACCCAGCCTAAGGAACTTTTGATAATTGATGGCTGCTGAGAGGGGGAAAGACAGTGTTTTATAGGGACGGGACTCTTTTTAAAATTTTTTTATTTATTATTTTAATTTTAAGTATACGAGTGTAATGCCTGCATGTATGTGAGTGCACCTGTGTCGTGCAATGCTGAGGAGGTCAGAAGAGGGTGTTGGATTCCCCTGGAACTGGAGTTAAAGATGGTTCATAGTCACCATGTGGGTGCTGGGAATCGAACCCGGGTCCTCTGCAAGAGCAATCAGTGCTCTTAACTGCTGAGCCATCTCTCCAGCCCCAGGGATAGGACTCTTAATAGTCCCAGTGGATGGACCCACACTGAAGGACATTTACTGACTCAAATCAGACTCTACAGGTCATCTCTTATATGAGAGTACATTAAATTAGATGGGGAGGCAGTGAAGGGAGTTTGGGACAGGGGAAGGGATCTAAATACCAACAAACTATATAAATTAAATAAAAAAGAATCTGCTATGTAGAGATTGGAATATGGCTAGGTGGTTAAGAGTGCTGGCTGAGCAGCTGGCACTAGACTGAGAACTATTGGAGACTGATTGCTGCTGGATGAGGGAGAGTATGCCTTACATATGACCTTTCATATGACCTTTAGATGGGATGACTACACTCCAATGGACACATGTACATTGAACGACATTTGGTTACAAATGCCTGAATGAATAGGACTTAACATGTATGGTGGAATACATGAGGTTCAGTGGGGGAATGGGGGAGGCATGGATAGGGGAGGAGGTCTAAATTTGATTAAGAACTGTTGTATGAAATTACAAAGTCTCAATTACATAAATATATAATATATACATATTTTATATATACATATATATATGTAAATGAAGAGTACTGGCTGCTTTTGCAGAGAACCAGGGTTCGGTTCCTAGCACCCATATGGTGGCTAACAACCACCCATAACTCCAATTCCAGGGGATCTGACATCCTTTTCTGGCCTTCACAAGCATTTCATGACATGGGTACAGTTACATACATGCAAGCAAAACACTCATACACATAAAATAAAAATGAAGAAAATTTATGAAATTGAAAAAGATCTGGTGATGTAGCAGGGCACGTCTCTAATCCTAGCATCCAGGAGGCAGAGGCAGGTGGAGAGCTGTGAGATCGCGGCCAGCCCGAGTTTTAGGCCTGCTGTGGCTTCAGGGAGATCCTATCTCAAACAACCATAAAACGTCTGCTATGTATACATTTCTGTTTAAAATGTTACTAATTGCTTCTTCTTTTCATTTAATTCTTGCCAGAATTTTCTATACTTTATTGCTTTTGTCAATGAATCAACTTTTCACTCTTGATATGCTTTTATTTTGTTTTCTGACTTCACTAGTTTTTTTGCTTTAATCTCTTTTTATCTACTTTCTTTTGGATTATTCTGTTGTGCTCATTTCTATGATCTTGAGTAGACTGCTTGATTTTTCCCCCCAGTTTTTCTAGTTTTACAAGAAATACACTTGAAGTGGGGTTGTTAGTTTTAGTGAATAAAAATAAAAATCCAGGTTCCTCAGGTATGCTTGAATTGCACATAAAAATAATTGTTTAATAAATATATTTACACTATGCATAAACATTATTCATTTATATGAAATTCAGACTAAACTAGGCATTGAATGTTCTGATAACTCTGTTTTTACTTTAGCTATACCACGAAGATTTTATGTTGTGATTTAAAAGTGATTATTCAGGTTTAGGCTATATTTTCATTGTTGGTTTCTTATTTAACTCTCTTGTATTTAAAAAAAGTATGTTAAATAGAAAAATATATTTAGCCTGGTGTTGGTGACACACACCTTTAATTCCAGCACATGGAGACAGAGGCAGACATTATCTCTGTTAGATAGAGGCCAGCCTAGAAAAAAAAAAAGCAATATCTATTTAAAACATATGCATTTAAGTTTTTCAGTGTTCATACTGAGGAAATGATATTAGAATACTACCCAGGTCTGGATGGCCCTGTAGGAGACCATCCTCCATCCTTCTTTGTTTGTGTGCTTCCCATGGTCTTGATTCCATCATTAGTTCAAGAATTGAACCTCTGACAAAAATTTAATTCAATTGATGGCATCATTTAAGACAAATAACAAAGACTGGGCAGGTAGCTCTGTCAGCAAAGTGCTTTCCCTACAAACATGAGGACTTGAGTTTGATCCCCAAACACCCATGTAAAAAGCCAGGCATAGGGAGAATATACTAGTCCCAGCTCTGGGGAAGCAGAAACACATGGATCCCTGGAGTTCACTGTCCAGCCAGCCTAGCCTACTCAGTGAGCTCCAGGTTAGTGAAAAACCCTATCTCAAAAAGCATGCTAGGTGGCACTTGAGGAACAATATTTGAGCTTGACCTCTGGCTTCCAGAAACATGAGTACTCCACACACATGAGCACACAAATGCTCACAAAAATTCACATACATACATACATGAAAGAGAAAACAGAATGATGGATAATGAAAATAGGATGGCATGAATTTGTGCAGCTATTTCTTCACACTATACTTTTAGATCACGTTTTAAATCCCATGTAGTAAAACTGCTGGAGCAACACCTCACTCATCCACACATTCTGTCCCTGGAATATGGTTGTCGGACATACAGAGGGTGTTAAGATATTTGGCTGGTAAAGGGTAGTGTTCCTAGCAAACCCAAAGCATTTTACATTTTGAAGAACTGTGGAATCAGTTCAGTTTGAGGGTTGTATCTGTGTGGATTTGTGTAAAACTAGATAATAGATCAAAAGCAGCAAATCAGACTGAGAGGAAACAGAGGCAAGAGTGAATGTGCTCACTTTGTACTGATTTTAAGGAAAAAGAATTTGACTTTTAAAGTATGTTAGCCAGTACTTATAGATTTTTGTAGATATATTTTATCAAGCTGAGAGTTCCCTTCATTTCTTTTAAACATCC